TTTTAAATAAAAACACAACAAATGCTTTTGTCTAAAGATATAAAGGTCCATTTTAAGAAATACTTATCGATGATTAAGTAAAATTCAGTATGAATAAAGTATCTAAAGTATTTCTAAACTATTCGGAAAATAGATTTAAGATAATTAAATATTAAGTTATTAAGATATTAAATATTAATATACTATACATAAATTTTTCAACTATTTGTAAGTGGGAATAAATTCTTGCTACAATATAAAGATTATAATTTATAAAAAATGATTTTATTACATTAATCATTTATTCAATTACATGATTAAATCAATCTTACATGCAATATTGATTTCTTGTGCATGAATTTTTTAATAAATCATATTTCCACTTAATCTTTCATGGAATCTATCGAAATAAATTAACTAATACCTGTAATATAAACATTATGTGATTGAGTTTGTTTTAAATAGCAATTTTTTTATGCATAATCTATAATTACTTATATAAAAACGTTACTATTATAAACTATTGATTATATATTCTTAGACATTATAAAAGTAAGAAAGCCAATTTTAATAATAAGAGAATTAATTAACTTTGTACATATGTTTATTAACATTGGATTTATGCAAATTTACATCAATGGCTTATTTCTAAGTAATGAATGATTGTTAAGTTACTCTTAAATTAGGAGTTAAAATTACTAAAGTATTGATCCTGTTTGAGTAGTATATCTGTAATAATTACGTAATTATAAAAAATTAAAATTAATTTTATAAATGAATATAATAAAGAAACTGCATTTTATTTTAAGCATTAAAATCAAATTTAATAAAGAATTTTTAACTGCATTTATTCACAAGCAAAGAAATATTGTTCAGTAAATATTTATAAAATTAATAATAAATAATACTATGGAAAGTACAGTTAAAATGAAAAATAACAAATAAATATTATATTGGAAAGTTTTTAAGATACAAAATCACAACCATTTTGCTTCAATAATATTTAGTAAAATATTATTCACTTTAAACTGCCTCCTTTTTACAATATTATTTATGGAATAAACTTCCATAATATGCATATTTAAAGCAATTACAAAAAAAAAAAAAAAAAAAAAAAAAGCACTATAACTCCAATATACAGTACATTATTGATTACATTTAAGAAAAATAGTATATTTAATATAACAAACACTATCCTGATATTTCATGTTGTTATTGGATTTTATTGAATTCAGTATTTTAATGTAAATTTAAATTCAACAATTTAAATTCAATAATTATTTAAATGAATTAATAATAACAGTTGTAACTCATAATATCGCCACTCAATTGAAATAGAAATTTAAAAAATTGATTTCAGTTTTTACATAAAAAATCTATTAAAACAAAATGTGTTTTAAGCCTATATTTAAAATATTTATAATAAAATTAATTACGAATTATTTGATTAAATAATTAATGAATAAGTTAAATTATTTGCACCATTTATACTTTCTTATTTATTTAAACACTTATTTGCTTTTTATTGTAATTTTAAACATATTTTGCATGTACATATAATAGAATTTACGTTCGTTTAAAATCATATTTATAATTTGATTGTAAAAAAAATTAAATATTAAAAATATTATGTAATTAATATAAATATCATTAAATTGAAATAATCATGAAATAAATAAATTACCGTTGAATAAAGATTAAAATTTAATAAGCACTTTTTACATAAATTTTTATATAAAATAAATGCATATAATGTTTTGAATTTTTCGAAGATATTAATTAATATTTTGCATTTAGGAATCTAAATTATATCAAATATCAATTGAATTTCCATTTAGAGTTTTAGAAGACATATTGAATTATTTCGATACATGAAAACCTACGAGATACGTTAAATTATTCCTAAATATGGAAACATGATGTCAAAAATAAATGTTGCGCGCAATAAAAAAGAATTACCATACGCATATTTTAAAAACAATTATTTCAAAACGCATCAAATCAAACAATGAGTACTTTATTGCATTTTTGGGGGAAATAAATTCGAAATACCCCTATATTCCGACGAATGCTATGACTAACGATGACTATCCGATGATATATCCGATGATTCTCCTATTCCCCATTCTCAATCAGCAATAAATTAATGTTTCACTAACTACTCTTTTTATAATCTTCTCTATCTTTTCTACTCTGGTATATTGTAATTCCTAATAACATCCATGTATGACTACCATTACTAGTATCTATTCATATATGATCCATTATAATAAATTTACGAACATTCGTAAAAAAACAATAAATTACAATTATTTTTATCTTTAATAAAAAGTTGACTTCTGTTCATAAGATTAAAGATTTAAATATAAATGAATTTTAGTTTTTAATTTGCTAAGTATTTTGTTGGAATTAGACATGTCTAAACTTGATTATCTAAATGTAGCACTATTATATCAATTAAAAATTAAAATGAAATTTTACAAATATTTTATTTAACAAAAATACATTCACATTAACGATCAGACTTTTAAACTTAAATGAATCGTTAATTATTAGTAAGATAACAATATTTCGGTACATGAACTTTATCAAAATCAAAAACTATTCGACCGTAGTGATAATTTGATTGGGAAATGTTTGACCTCCTGCATTTCCATTGGAATAAAAATAAATGGCTGAATTTTTAAATAATCATTTCAGTTACATAATTCTACTTGTTAATATTCTTGATTATATAAAAAAGAATATCATAGATGAATAACAGTAATAAAATGAATCGTAATCAAAGATTAACAGAATGATACATTGAGTAGCAAAATAAAAATAACAAATTTCTATCGAATATGTATAATTGTTAAGCTCAATTGTATTTTCGTATTTTATGAAGAATAAATTTATTTGCGGTTATTAATTTTAATGATAAAGGAGAGAAAGAGAGCTAGCACGGAAAAAAACTACATTCTAATAAAGAATCAAACACGAACAATTAGAAGAGAGAACATAGAATAAATTTAATTTAAGAGCTTACATGCGTACTCTAAGCTAATTTTTTTTCAGAATATGCCATTTCCAAGTGAATAAAAAATTATCAAACGGTTATCACATTCTACAAAGCATTTTATTTATATTCATCGATTCATTAAATAATTTTGTAGACTTGCCAAAAATGAAATCAGTCCAAAATATTCTAAATGCTTGTATTCCATTCTAGTCGCTCTCTCTCTCTCTCTCTCTCTCTCTCTCACTCTCTTCTCTCTCTACCACTCTGCTCTTGGCTCTTTCTTTTACTTTTTCTTTTATTTTTGGAAACCCGTTTCTTTTTTCTAATGAATTAGTGTACAAGATTAGAGAGTTATGCACCGTCAATATTTTCATTTAATTACCGTGTACTATTCCCATACAATAAAACATAAATTATTTTTCTGCTTTTATATCTTCTTTCATTCAAATTTATTATCTATCAGAAAGAATGAACTCAATTCAAGTGGAGTTTATAACAGTAATTAGTTATCAAATGCCATTCATCAAATTATTTAAATTCATACATAATTGTAATATACAAAAAATATAAATCCACTATTGTACCAAAATTATATACATAAATAAAGGTTTTCATTTGAATAATTAATAACTTTACAATAATATTTCATTTTTTTTCCCATGCCCTGGTGTTTCAATATTCTACAAGAAAATTACTCTCTTTATTTCTCAGCTTAAGGATTATTCTCGCCAAATATTTATTACTAAATCAGTTTTTATATATTCCAATGATAATTCCCTCTCACTTACCTCTAATAATAATAATACTGTATAATCCTTTTCAATCAACTTCTCGTTTTTTAATTTAATTTTGATTATATTCGTTCTTTAAGCTCTAATCAACATTCCAATATTCACTTTGTCTTTATATACTTTGTGTATGATCTCACTATACTTTTCAACGCTTTTCTTGTCTTTAAATCGAAATCAAATTATTCCAAAATTTAAATGACTTTTTTTTAAATTTTATAATTAAGGTTTCTATATGCTATTTTAAAAATAATATTTCCAGTTAACAAACTTATAGTTTGGAAAAGAAATTAAAAATATATTAAACGATAATTAAGATAAACTTTTAAGAATTATAATCATTCTGGTTTATAATTTTTATATTTAAACGAATTTTAAGTTTCTAGTTTTATCCTCTTTTCTTTTATCCTATTTTTTATCGATTATATAGTACATAGCTTATGTATTCCATTTTTGTCATAATGAATTATTATTATTATTGTTATTATTATTAACTAATAATAAGAAAAACTTCATTGATACAGTAGATACATAAATTAACCGATATGATATTTGTTCGAAATTGAGAGAATTTTTCGTGTATTAATTTGGGGAAAAATAGCAAGAGTCATAATTATTATAAAAATTCTTCCAGGGTCATTGGAGGCTCGGAAAGCGCAGTAAACGACCGTTGGTTTTAGCTAGCAAGAGCGCGCCGAGTCTGTTTATACGAGAATATGTCAAGAGTGAGAGAAATATATAAACAATCGAGTAGAAAAATATTTCCTAAAATTCGTTTTTAACGAGAAACTCGGCTGGTGCGACATCGGCCAATCCTCTTGCGTCCTCGATGCCATCAATGTCACGGGACATACATTGTTGCCGTTTGCATATCCACGCGTTGCCACTTGCATAGGCCAAACGAAGACGTTTTACCAACAACACCTCCCTACCTCCCCTACCACCAAGCCCCAATAACCCCTCCCGCCCGACCACCGGCAACGTCGCCAAGTCCCGGAAAGGGGTGAGCCTCCCCACAATCGAAGGCGCTGCTGCCAAAGTTACTTTTTACGACGTTGTCATTGTTTAAAGCCTAATTTGTTCGGTGTATGCGTGGGGAAGCCAAGTGGAAACTAATGATGAAGTTTTATTAAGTGACCCACTGACCAGAAGGAAGATACACAAAACCTCCTGTGCAGCAGTCGATAAGTGTTAAAGTTATATCTCCTTTATATCACGAAAGGACCAGACTACCAAGCACGCACTCCCGGACATTTGGATCGTGAATAATATTCAACTACTCATCCCAGGATGAGATCAAGGCCACCGTATCACTGTGAGTACACAAAGTCCAGTCCGTGTCCGTGACTCGAGGATCATCTTGTGTAGTGAAACATCCGTCACAAGAAACGTTCCAAGAAATCGCATCTTTACAATTAAACTTTAGATGCATATACAATACACCAATATGTAATTGTTTTATAAATTTTAAATTAAATCATATATTCATCAAAAGACACGACATTTCTACATTCTCTTCTTTCACTTAACTCCTTCCCGAGCATTTTCTAGGGCCGGCGGCAAATTATTATAAAACTATCGCAACATTGGCAGTTTGGGCCGAGAAAACTACATCATTTTCGAACAATATCTAAAAGTATTATATATTTCCTTATTTACTGTAAAATAAAGTAATAAACTAATAGCAAATTAATTTTAAAGTACTAATAATTGCTATTTCTACAGCTGACGCTCCTTTATCTGCGGTTTGGTAAAATTACTTTATATTCATCCCGACGCTGAAATTAAATATAAAAATTTGTAAACTTGTTAATTTAAGTATAGTTAAATTAAGATTTCACTCATTAGTAAGATTTTTCAAAAATTGGACTACTCATTTGTCGATTATTTATTGTTCTTAAAGAAGAACATGTCAGAATAAAAAACGTATCTTTAAAAAATTATTGCAGCGTACTAATCGTAAATAAACTTCAATAACATTTTGATATTGTTTTGAACAATTTCAAATTTATGAAATGGAATAACAAGTCACATAATCGGATATATAAAAAAATATAATCAAAAACTGCAATAATAAAATTTCTAAATTGATTAAATCACACAATGTTGGAATTCTAATGTCGGAATTGCCAATTTATGAAGTAATAAAAATAAATAATAAAAATTGATATAGCCAATCCTAGAACTTAACAAGGATAATATTCAATTTATTTTTTACTTTCTAAATAAAAGTCTATATTTGAAAAGCTTTTCTTTAAATACAATTTTTACCCGCGATTTAATCACAAATATATAAAAGTAAAAGATAACGAATACAGATATGCACAATATTTTAACCACAGTCGACAAATCAATTCATCAATAGAAATTAGGATATATTCACGCGAATTTATTATATGCACTCAAAAATCATGAGTAATTGAACGTTAAATTATGACTATAATTAAGGAACCAAAGTAGTGATACTTCTTACAAAAAACAAAAATTAATACAAAAATTCACTATTACAAAAATATCAAAGTATCTGAAATCATTGCTTCTTGTAGTTCTCAAAACTCTTCTCATTGTTTCTCTCATACACACACAACATACACACCTACACTCATGCATATACTTGCCATGTATCTATCTGTATTTCACTCCATTTGTCTCTTTTTTGGATTTAAGATAAGAAATGACAGAAATTTACAAAAAGAACTGTTGATTTTGAATATTAGAGCTAATATTCTTATAGACTTAAATTATAATAAATTATTTGTTAACTGGGGCGTAATATTTTTGTTAAAAACGTTATAGGATTTATTGCTTTTAAAATCCCTAATTACATTAGACTACTTACGTATTTAAGAAATAAACAGTACTATAATAAGTTGAACTTTAACAAAAAGGTTTGAAGAAATTCGCTCTTTAGAACTATTACTAATTTAAACATACCTCGGTTAAATTAGTATTTATACAAAATATTCACAATAAATTATCATTAGGAAGCAATAACGAAAACATTTGTATTTTATTTATTTTAACATTTTAGGTTAAAAATTTGTTTTTCGAAACTAACTAACTAATGCATTTATTAAAAATATGTAAACGTATTGGATATAACAAATAAATGCATTTAAATTAACAATATTATAGATACATTTACAAATATTGTATCAGAATTTACCAAGTAAATAACTAATATTTTAAATTCGATTCTTCATTAAGCACTAGTTATTAATTATATTTTTCTAGAATTATTATTATATAAAAAACAACGATGTTCAACTTTTCTCAGCATCATTGAGAAATCTACATTATATTTAGAAAAGTCAACTTAATACTTAAAAGTTATAATTTATTTAAATTAAATTAAACATCATTATAAACTGTAGCTATTTTTAACTTTCCATAAAATATAAATAAATAATTATAAATAGGCAGTAATTTATGCACTTTTCATAAATTACTAACGAATATTTCGTCACAGATAATAATATAATAATTTATTATGTTGCAAAGCTTGTGTTTAATAAATATTGACTCTCTGTTCTTAACAAACAATTAAAATGTAAATTACAAATCTAATTAAAACTGTATATCTAGATGCAAAAAGTATATTCGAATGATGAAAAAATTAAAATTAAAAAGCTTTAATGAATTAATTACTAGTAATCGTTAAACATCAGTAAATTAAAATACCTTCATATAAAATTTTTGGCTTACTTTGACCAATTTCTCTCTCTCTCTCTCTCTCTCTCTCTCTCTTTCTCTCTCTCGCTTTCTCTGTCATTCTTATCTCCCTTCTCGATACCTTCTTTTTCCCAATAGACCTTTGTGTATTTATTTATCTCCTAGCTTAGAATAGCTAGCAGCTATACTGGATGATGCACGATGGTTGCCTAAAAACTGTTTTCATAGAAAATATCTATAAACGTAGCCGCGAATGAAAGTTGTCCGCAAGTCCGGAGGGCAAAGTCAAGTCGAAGTCGAGAGCGTCAGCGAAAAGTTAACCGCAGTAGGCGAACGCAGTTGGTTCAGCGTTCTACAAAATTGGCAGTTCCAGTTAGGACCACGTGCCCAAGAAAGAGAGAGATTGAATATTCCGAGAGGGACAGTCTATTGTCTTTGTGAGTCGCACATACATTAGCTTCCAACAGCGTTTGCGACTTGCACCCACAAGAACTAGTTGAAAGGAAAGAATAGGTGGCACTCTGGAGAATTATTTAAAGAGTAAAAAGCAAAGGGCGTGATAGTTCTGCCCCTCTTCGATAATCGCGTTCCAACCGCCGTTATAAAGACAACTTACTTTTTTCTCTTTATATCTGCTGCAAATTACATCCTTTTTCTCACTACACTAATCTTTTGTGCGGCTTTTGCAAAAGTTAAAAACCGATGGCGCTTAAGGAAGTATTGAATTGTGGATGAAAGAAAGCAACTATATTTTCTTAAGCAATTTATATATAATTATCAATGATTAATGATTTGATTTGAAATCGCATTAATTGTTCGCGGATGATATATCTTTTTGTTTCAATGTATACGTAATTATTATTCGCCTACTCGACGTAAATGACGTACTTGAAATCTAAAATAAGCATAGAATTTCCTGCATATTAAAAACTTAAAGGATTGTGAAGATATGAAAGGAGATATGAAACTTGCAGTTGAGTGAAACTAAATATTGAAATTTTTTGCGAATACAAATTTTTTAATCTCAAAATAGTAGTTACATCTTCACGATATATCCCTAAATTTGCATACCTTATCTTTCAAATAGAAAATCACGTATTTTACCACACGCTTGCTTATTCATTAATCAATTCGTAATCGCGCGATTATTATTTAATTAACTATTTTAAATAAAAATTCAAATGTAGATAAATAAGTAGATAAGGGTTAAGCTGTTTAGCAATAAAATACGCTAGATAGTGAAATTTATCTGTTATTATGAAATCAGCGGGCAACAATTAAAGTGTAACTAAATTTTATCCATTTAAATAAAATGCAAAAGATGTGCATTGGGAACGTAATAGATTCTCGATAGCGTAATATGACCCACAAACTCGCTCTTATCATCCGAAACGTAAACCGAGCTAGCAAACCAATACCCGACGTACATCACACCTACACATCGTTCCTCACATTATGCTACTACACGAAGCTCATACATCTCGCGCAGTACGCACGTGTTACCACGCGAGCGAATCGGACTAATACGAGCGCGCAATTTGCAATATGAATCGTCCAATTATCAAGAATTGCAGTATAGTCGCCGTGCTGGTGCGAGTTGTAATTTCTTCTCCAAAAGTCGTCGATTTATTTCCAACGATTTTTTATTCAATTAAAGCTGCGCCGACTTGACGACGACTCTTTTCAGTGTATTTATATATTTAATAAAGCGAAAAGCGAGCAAGTCATGCAACGAAAGCGTACCTTAATTCAAGCTAATTTACATTTTGCACGTTCACACGATCTGACTGCGCAGCGATTGCGCGTGTCCGTGTGCGTGCGCGCGTACATACATGTTCATATGGTAACTCAGCTTCCGAGTTTCATCCTCTCCCGGGCCTCCCCCCTCCCTGCCATCACCAAACTCCCGATCCCACCCTCGTACTCTCTCCTATCCTCCGTCAGCCATTTATCTTGGTTGAATTTAATTTCATTCTGCTGGAGTAAAGTGGCACTTATTCTTATGAACTTAGCCACGAACGTTGACTGGACTTTTCGCGTGCAGTCACACAAGAGGCCAGAAAAGACGACGAGACGAGCGCACTTATTTATATTTATGATGGACTCGCGCATATATACACATTCGCCATTCGTTTATGACAGAAGTCATTTGGCCAGCTTCGCTTTTCTCGTAGGCTTGTCGCACACATTATCATGACGCCTGGAACAAATATTTTTTTCAGCAGAGCCGGTCTCGAGTGAAATGTATTTTTTAGAAGGATTATTTAATTAGTAAGTGAGAAAGACTTTGCGTGATTTATAATGCTATTACAAATAGAATATAGTATATAGGTATATAGTACGTCCAGAAGATAAATTGTTGACGTACAATCCTTCGCATACATTTATTCAAAATTATAAAGGTCTATTAAAAAATAATTAACCTTTAAAAATCATTCGATTATAAATAATATTGACAAAAAGCTCCATCATCGATGAAATACTCCTGTGTCAAAAAGAACTCCCAGTAGATAAGTCATTTCAAATTACAAAAGTTCTGCATTCTTAAATATATTTTCTCTTCAAAATTTAATAAAATGCTGCAAAAATATGTAAGAAAGATTGATGGAAAAAAAAAAAATTATTTTAATAGATATATGTACATTGACACGTTATAGTATCTTGTGGTAATAAAAAATATCTATTGATTAGAAATAGTATTAAAGGGGCATAAGTTTGACGCTCGCTTATAATACAAAAGGAAGAATTTTTACAAAACATTTGAAATTTAGCATATTTATTTTTAAAATATTTTCCTTTCCAAATCCTCTATTATTTGCCTAGAAAGAAAATAGTGTAGACTACTTTCGCTTTAAATCCAGTCTTTCTCTTTTATCTTACTTTTCCTTACAAAGTCTATGTAAGCTTATGCTTTCGCTGACAACATCATCCGATAGACATAAATAAGTTCAGATAGGTTGAAGCTCTATAACTTACTCTTTGAACGTCTAGTGTTAGTTTTAAATATTTGTCTTTTTTTTTTTTTTTTTTTTTTTTTTTTTTTTTTTTTTTTTTTTTTTTTTTTTTTCAAAATTAAAATTTATTTTATATGTCAAACTTAAATAGTCTTTTATTTTAGAAAGTATAGCCTATAAGATTCATCTGAGAAGAATTACGTTAATTAACAAACTTTTGTTCCCTTTCTAGGAATACGTTCTTGGGCTAAAAAAAATATTCGTCTCTACATTAATGGATAAATAAAATTATTTAAAAACTTAAAGCTAATTATCTTATTACAGTTAAGAGCTTTATATTTAGCATGAGCTCGGTTATCCTGGCATTATTTTTATTCTCCTTTCACGGAAATTATTCTCTAATGCGTCCGTGCCACTAAATAAACCGGATAGCTCCAGGAAGAATAGCTGAAAGAAATTAGCGAATCTCGTATCCGAGAAATAGGAAATTAAACACGTATCATAAAGTGTAAAATGAATTTTAGACAAAGGCGCTAATATTTATGAGAGCCTAACATTTATGAAAAACGCGATTGTATACATTGTAAAAACATAGACGGAGACATCATGTATTTTAGGCACCTTTAATAAGAGTCGGTCGTATAGGAAAAATCGCTCCATCAGTGAACGTGCCTCGTTTAACCAATTTCGAGCTTTTCTCCGCTGAATTCTTCCTCTTATTCTTAATCACTTTCTACTCCTTCCTTATTCATTTTCCATCATTAACTACCTATAATTACCATTCTCCTTTATCCTTTCTGTTCCTCCTTCTCTCATTCTCTATTTAAATTTTTTATACGCGGATCTTAATTACGTCGAACAAAAACAAGATTAAAGTACAGTTGGTTCTATTCTCATTTCAAACATTAATTTCAATCCCAAAATTCACTGCACACTCTCCTTTACGTTTATGGCCATACATATTTGTATAGTCAACTTTATAATATATAGGTTTATATTAAGTATATATTATAATGGCTTGAATTAATTTAAATAAAATTTCATCGCTTTTTCATTTATAAAAATAAACTAAAATTGAAGTTAAATGTAGAGATTAAAAATTCTAATAAATAAGAAATAAAAGTAAACTCATTGTTTTGCTTGTAAAGGGTTGGTTTTTCTGTTCAATTAATCCATCTAATAATTGAGATGATGTTAAATCAAATCAATAAACATTTTTATAGTATGGGATATAATATATACTCGGTAAATGAATTTCAGATCCTTAAGGCATATGTAGCAAAAAAAAAGAAGACTTATACAATAGTTAAAAACTCGTGTAAATTATATAAAAATACTTCGATAACTTTACCTTTAAGAGAATATCCACTAAATTTTCTGAAATCTTTACTCCAACTTCAATACTTCATAATTCTATTATATGCTAATACATCCCAAAAGTTCATTATATTCGATGCAAATATAATTAATTTTAATAGAATCTTAATTAATACGTAAAAATAAAATAATAATAACTGACAAAAATTATTATCAAATTAATTATCTTACTTCAAATATTTTATTACAATTTCTTATAATGTAAAACAAAAAACTAAAACCTTATACTTATGAAATCATATTTTATTATACTTATATTAAAATGTCCTAATTATATAAATAATTAAATGAATTTTCGAATTTAGAATATTTAATATATTCATAATTGCATCATTTTAAGAACCTGAGGTAATTAACATTTTTTACAAGAAAATTAATCTTCATAGATGTATAATGAGATCAGTGTTGAATTTATATATATTTTCATATATACGAGTTAAAATTATTATGATCGTCGTAATGAAATATTGATTTTTCTAAAGAATTTTTCTAAAAGATTTTAAAACGTACAACTATAATTGTTTTTCTCTTTGCAAAACGGACAAAAGGTCAAATGTAAATTCACGCGTAGACAACTTTTTTCTATCGTGCAATACCATGTTGCATACGGAAAATCATTTGAATGCAATTTGATCTGTTCTTTTGAAAAAGCTGTGCATCGTGCTATGAATTATGAAACGACTTCCAATTAGCAGCTTTCCCACAGAGTAAATACATCGAAAGTTTGCATTCAAAATCAGTAACAAGTTGAGAAACGAGCGATCGTTGGAAAATGATATCATAAAAACTAATTAGAATCAATGTCGTTTGTAATTGGATTAACTGCTTCATGAAAGCGCACGACGGTCGCATAAACCTCCTTTTAATTTGTCGGCAAGATTGTAGCGAGCAACAAATATCGTTTAACGAAAACTTTGATCATAAAGCTCACCGCATAGAGCGAAATAAAAGAAAGGATGAAATTTCATCAGAATCGTAATCTCCATCTATGTTGGCCTAACGCGGTCTCTCTCTCTCTCTCTCTCTCTCTCTCTCTCTCTCTTACTCTTGTTGGTTAGACTGCATCCCGGGGCGCCAGCAGGGACTAGAATCCTAATTGAAAATCCGAAATCGTTACGGGGAAATCGGCCACGGGACTAGTTATCCAAACGGGGCAAAGGTTGAATGTGGTCCGGGGTGGGGGCTTAGGACGGAAGGTAAAGCAACGACTAGGAGGATCGATTCGCTTGGGCGAACGGCGGAAGGGAGGAGGCGAATCGAATGAAGATGCGCGAGCGCGCTGGCAATAAATCCGACGGAATTGCGTAGAATGCCGCGGCGAACGAGGATGAATGAGAAGGAAAGAGAGAAAGAGAGCGAGAGAGTGAGAGAGAGAGAGAGAGAGAGAGAGAGAGAGAGAGAGAAGAAGAAGGTAGAAGGTAGAAAAAGCTCGATATTCTGCGGATGCAAACGATGTATGTTGCAATCTGATTCCCGATCGCTTTGTTTCCAATGCGATTAAAAGAGTATGGAAAAGCGACGAAAAATCTTGATGTGAAACAAGGTATACCCTCTACTACTCTCCCTTTTTTGTCTTACACAGTCACACACCCTTAGACACATACAAAACCCCCTACGTTTTTCATTATTTTATTTTTCTCTTAATGTCGTATCGCTACTACTCTCCTAACGCTCTACCAAAGAAGATTAAATGAGAAGGTTAACCCTTAAGTGTTTCGTGTTGCATTTATTTTTATATATTTATTAGCAATACGATATAGCTTGTAAAAAAGTAAAAATTGGCCTAAAATTAAGATTAAAATTTATAATGCTTGATTAATATTTTATGGATTTTTTTTTCTTTTAAAGTTGATACACATTATCTTCCATTTAAGTTTAAGTACATACTTATTAATATACTTATTAATATTAATGATCAAATTTTTAATATCGCATATTATATCGTATTTAAATAAAACAATCGAACTCTTAAATATCGCTCGTTTTTTAAAACTAATGAATATATATGATTATGGTTAATCGTACTTATGAATTATATTATTATTTTCTCAGTTGGTCAAGCGCACAAGTTTATTAAAATTTAAAGGAAATACTTTCGAAACGTGATTTACATAAAAAAAATGATCTTAGAACTTTAAGTGATTTAAAAAAAAGAATTTCGTAATACAAAAGAAAATCTCTAAGAAATTAAAAATAAAATAAACAACGCTGTAATGTATGCAATTCTTGATGCACTTGTTTTTGTTATTTTTAATAATAAAATTCAATTATAGTTAATTACTTTATTGATATTTACTCTATTAAATGTATTAATCATATTCTAATTGAATTCAATTGTTGATCGTCAGTTACAATATATTATATGGCCATTGTAGAACCTAACCTCACTATTTCATAATAAGTAAAAAAGATAATAATTCCTCATAAGGGCGTCCTTACTTTACGTTCTCCCTGACTATTATTATAACCTACTGTAAATAAAATGTTTACAGTAACCATTACGCGTATAAGTAACTGTAAAATAAATTATCACATTTACATTATATTTTTTATACAAACTAAAAATCCAAACAATTTTATTTTTATAGGTCAAATTGAAAATAATTAAAGATGTTTTCATTAAATTACGTGTATATTAAAGACATATTTAATTATTTAATACACAATATTAAAACATCGATTTAGAATTTCAATATATTATAATGAAGAGTAAATAAAATGAAAATTCATTTATTTTTCTGTCATAAGCAATTTTAATCTAACTAAAGAAATATTATTAACTAAAAATTATGATTTAATAACAGTAATAAATAATATTTTTTTTTAGGAATTCATTTACTAATTTAATATACCTGCTAGTTTTAGAAAGTTTAAAAAATACTCATAAAAAAATACTAAAGTCAATGGCTAACAGTATTATAATATTTTTGCTAACTGATAAATATGTGTGTGTGTGTGTGTGTGTGTGTGTGTGTGTGTGTGTGTGTGTGTGTGTGCAGGCTATTGTGAATATTATTTATTGGAAAGACAAAAGAAAAAGAAGGAAATCGCTATACTTTTAGTAATTGAAAGAGAGCTGGTACGGCAAAAGTGAAAAAGGACGAGTGCAAAGTAATCCCATTAATTAGAGCCAAGATTTACTATATCTTCCTTCTGGTAAGTACGTATTATTGTCATACCTTGGCACGACATTATACTTGCGTTGTGTGTCGTGTTTAAACTTCCAGGACACTGCGTGTAACCTTCTGCACACATCGCGTGTGCTGTCGCCTGGTAAGAGTCAAGAATGTAATAAGCGGCTATGCGTTCGCCGACCGATTCCATTTAGATTTATTAGCTCCTAACGAGTTAGTAGTTAAACTTACTCGATATTTACAAAATACTAAATATGTGCTTATAATTCCGCCTACATAATTTAATTATTCAAAGAGTACCTCTGGTGTATGAATATAAAATTAAATTTTCATGCACATGAATTTACTAGAGTTGCAAATTTGAAATCTCCTCATATATAATTGGACATTATTTATAATAGTTATTGTTTTATTCAAAAAATATTTTCTTTTTTTTTTTTTTTTTTTTTTTTTTGTATTTTTAAGAGAAATGCATGATAAGTTTGTTTATAAAATATATTTTTACAGATAAATTTTCGAGCTCTTATTGATTTAAGTATATTAATTAAATAAATTTTGCATTTCAAGAATACACGACTTTAGCTGTTAATTATGCTTTGGGGGTAACAATTTTTTATTTTAAAATTTCTAACGCAAGTTTAATAAAGATAATTACTTTCCCAAACTTGTATCCCGAAAAATCAACTTTTAAAAAAATAAAATTCTTTATTCAATTTGTACATTTCGTTGGAATTTTACGGACAGTTTTTAATTTCATGACTTTCTTAAAAAATATTGACAGCTTTTAATTCCTCAGTGATTCGACAACACTTAATAATAGATCGCAATAATAACCTTGCGACAATGCAAGTTATTATAGTTTGTAAAAGTCACAAAAAATAATTTAACTAATGTATTCGCAGCATAGCAAAGACATCTACGTAATTTAGTTGAAAAAGACGCGCTGTTAATCGTCCTATGTTTTATTCTATGTTAATGTCGACGAGCAAAGAAGCAAAAGTTTATAAGAAAATGTAAAATCCGTCTGTAGACATAAAAAGACAGTAAAAGTAGTGAATAATTTACATGCGGAGCACGCGCGAGCTAACACACGTATACGGCAGTCATATAGATCTTTTATTGATGAGGTAATCGCGGATAGAATATTACGCTTAAACGGCCACTTTCAACCTGCGAAATATGAGTTCAAGATTACTTTCACATTAATACGGCGATGAGTTTGTTTCAGCTCTTTATCCATCTTCCTTCTTGCAACTTCAACCCCGTTGATACGACAAATTCAGAAGTGCAATATATCCCGATATATACGCCCATAAATGCGTCCTTCAAAGCACCAATTTACCCTTCATTTACAAATTCGCGTGCGTGTCTCCACATTTGCCGTGAATTATACTCGAAGACAATTTACACTTAAGCGCCTGTGTCCTTAACTGCGTTTATCTGCTTTTCAATTATATCCACTCACTCAGCGACTATCCTTTATCTTTACAGACTTAAAAAGAAAGAACCGCAACCAATTAAAAAGTGTATCGGATTATAGTTGACTCAGCTAAGTTTGCAATTATCTCTGGCAGCTAGTCGTTTTATAAATATAGAAGACAAGTTCCCGCTTGGAGATTTTTACCGCAGCACCGTCCCTGTGTAAATAAATAGGTCATTCGAGGAGCTCACAATACTACGAAAATTACTTGCCTCCGTACAGCGATGATCTATTTCACGATTTTAAGTGGATTATCCAGATTTCAGCAATTTATGTTGCGATACTTAATAATAATGCTGTTATTTTGATTGCTTTATCTGTCGTTACTTCATCTGCATTCGGTAAGCGAATTTTACATGTAGTATCGTCGTTTATTATTTATTTTACGATATCTATTATCTGTAAAACTCCAACTACTACGTATCGACATTGTAGTACGTATTTTCTTTTATGGATAACTGATCAACGTTATTTTCTTTATAGTTATAGGCCATAAATGCTTTTTCAAAAAGCTCAAGATCAAATGGTTACTTCAACTTACCCGATCCGTCTACCCGATATACCTTGCGTTATGATAACCATTACTGCTCGATATACGCATCGAAGAATGGCGTTTCTTTGAATATTTCCAAGCACCATACGTTGTCATAGTGATCACCATCTTCTTCTTTTTCTATCGAGTACTGCGAGTAGTAGTTCCATAAAGTTTTTTCTTTAAATTTCCTTTCGTAAAATGTTCTCACAAACCTATTGGAATATAAAAGCACTCGTCTTGACCGAAAATCCCTTCATTCACGTATGTCTCAATAAACAGTCCCTATACTCAAAAAAATCAAAAAATACAATAACCTTTAGTGCTTTTTCCAACACATTATCAATGGACTTATTAAAATTAATAAAATCTTTAAATTCAATTATAAACAGATTACTTATTTACTCTGTGCAGCTTACCATTTCATTAAAACTTAAATAAATAACCAGATAATATCAAAGTACTTTCAGTGTTTCTATTTGAAGCATATTTTCAGTCGAATTTTATAATACAATATTTTACCCTTTCATTTTAATATTATAAAACATTATTTTAATGTATTTATTTAAATAAAAAAGATAATAAAAATAATAATTATAAACACTTATTTTGAGATGTTCGAAATATAATGCAATAGCTAATCTTACTTTCATAATTTCTCATACTTATGTATGAGATATATAATATATACGCGACTAAATTAAATGCATACGAAATTATATACATTTTAAATAAATTTTCACACTGCAAACATACAGCAAATGATAATAATCAATAATAATCTTGGAAATCCTTTCACGCATAAAAAGAAAATATTTAAACAAATAATAAGAGCATTGTAAGTAAGAAATATTAAATTTAAGAATATTCTATATATTTGTTCCTATTTAAAATGAATATTGAAATTAATTTTCTTACTTTGATCATAATTGTATATATATATATATATATATATATATATATATATATGTAAACGTACGTAGAACAAAAATAATATGTACAGGCATTAAATACTATGCCCAACAATAATTTCATATCTCCATCTTAGAAAACAGCATTAGATAAACGGGAACTTGAAACATTAAAATACAAATAACGATAACTTAAAATACATGAATTTTCTCAAGGCATTCTCTTACTTTATTACGTTTATATTTTATTACTGACGAAATATTCCTATAACCGTTTATTTATATAAAATAATGTATAAAAATGATGTAACCTATAATTAAAATACTCATTATACCTTCATTAAAATAATTCACACGAGATTAAATTATATATAAATTTTATGAAAGCAATTAGTTTAATATATATTTCACATATTAAAATTTTAATACGATTTCAAATTGAATTTAATGGTACTCATACAAAGTCGTGAGTATAAATTAAATTTTTTGGAAACATAAAGAGAAAAGTTATTTAATTTAATAAAACTTCATAAATCAATTAAACATGAATATAATTTATTAATTATTTAAAAAAAAAAAAAAAATCTAAATTTAGTGTATTTTGGCACAATGAAAATAACTATTGAAAAAAAAAGTAAAAGTAGAGGAAACATGGAGATAGTTGAAATTAAGTTGCGCCTATTAAAGTCCTCAAAATGTCACAGCTTTAGTAAAACGAGACAATGCAAATAAAGAAGAGAGGGAATGATTGCGCGATAAATTCTGCGGAATAAGAAATGAGCGAGGGAAGAAAATCTAGGCAGAAGAAGAGCAGAAAGCACGAAATTCGCGCGGTAGTGCGTTTCGATGCAAATGACGCGCGCGCGTCACAGCATTTTCCGGTGCAGCGAAGAATCACTCGAAGACAAGAAGCAGCATCATCAGCAACAGCAACAGCAGCAGCAGTGGCAGCACCAACAGGGACAACTGCAACAAGAGTTGGCCCTCGGTATTTGATTAACATTTTCGTCATAATGTCCCAAGAAGAACTTTCTCTCCACGCCCCGAGCACTCGGAAATCCGAGATTACAAATTTTCATTAAAAACTTTGCGTCAGACGATTTGCATAACTTTACTGCAATCCTTGTGTTTGGTATACAAGTCAGGTTGCACGTTTGTTATCCACTCCTCATTTTTAATAGAAATATCTCGCTCTTTTGTATTTGTATGCGTCTTTAAAGCAGTTTTCTTTCTCTTCTTAATTGCGCGTTTTCATCGCCGAATTGCGCAAAGACTTTGAAGATTTGAATTATTAAATAGAGATACTGAGGCTGCATTTTTATTTATCAACTTTTATCCTTCTGAGGCCATTATACAGCTGGAGTGTAAAAAAAAAAACAATTGAAAACAAACTATACGATAAAAATAGAAATAAATTGACAATATTTTTAGTTAGTATTTCATTTTTAGCATTTATTTACTTATTGCTGATTAATGGACGAATTCCTATTTGTCCAACGAAATTATTCATTTTTAAAAATGCATGTCATTCGACAATACATTTACGGACATGCTCGATTGAAAATAAATATTACACTTACAAATTACAGATATAAGAGTTTAATTGCAATTTGTCAATGGTTATGAACGTAAATACAAATAGTCATTTCAAAATATTGTTAAACAGAATGCTCGTGACAGCGTACGTTTTAAATCTTCTTACATTGTTACGATCCATACTTTTTCATCATTCACTATAATATTTGTGCTTTTTTATCAACAATTAAACAAACAATTGTCATTTATATCATAGAGAATTATTAAAAATGAAGTCCTTAGAACATGAAAAATGTTACGAACAATCAGCGTCATTGTCTAATGAACATCAATCACGGAGATTTCCAATTTCTTTTATAAAACTAATACTCAATTGCTTTACTTCTATGATATCAAGAAACTTACTACAGCCGGTGCAATTTCAAGAGAAACGTCAGCGAAACTACGCGCTAACGCAATGCCTCTCTAAAGTCGGGAGCTCGTAAATTACAACAATTCATATCGCGTCGTCTTGGCTTTAATAACGACTTTCTGGCTAAAACATGATTCCTGTTTTATTACCCAGTAATAAAACATAATAATCTACAAAAATTGTACAAAGACGCGCGCGCGCGCACCCACGAACGCACGTAAACAAACAAACAAGAGGACGCGCACAGATGTACGCGCGCGCACACGCACACAAACATTTAAGATAAGTTGCCATGTTTCTTTAAAATTCTTTAAAATTCAATACAATTAGATGATTATTGGGAAAATTCTGTGTAAGTAATAAGTTAACAGTATATATTCAATGATACTAATTCTTGCAAAATCCCTGTAAATAAAATGGTATTGTTATTATCAGCAATCATAAAATGACTAATTATTAAGCGCCTTAGAAGCAGTTTGTGCTTTTACATCCATTTACATAAAAAGTAGAACAAAATTTAAAATTAAAATATAATGTACGTCCGTTAAAAGGGATATGAAAATATAATAATTCCATTGATTATTAAAAAAGTTTCGAAGTTTACGAAAGTTCAAACTGTTGTTTACATTTAACTTGACTTCTTAAACTACTAATTATTGAATTCATATTTAATTTTTAAAAGATCAATTACTGTATTATTATGTTTAATTTTATTATTCCAACGTTTCCAAATATTTCACTTTATTCGCTTTTAATAATTTTCATACAAAACAGCATACAAAAAAAAAGTAATAAAATATTGCAGTAAGTAAGCCTTACTTATTATCATAAGAATAGAATAGAAAAAATAAAATATGGTTCACTAACAGAAAGACAAATTAATGTTTTCCAAGTTACAAGACAACTGTGCTAAAGATAATTAATAACATAATTTCATGAATATCTCATTCGCGTTAAACTTAATTTTCAATCTAATTGAATTAATATGATGTTTAATTAGTTTATCGAAGCTTTAGTCAATAAATAATGATAAATCGATAATCCATGTCGTCAATACTTATGTAAACTAATATGACAAAGGCATAAATTCAATGAGATATATCCAATCTGCATAAACTCTTTCATAACAAAGTAGAGATTGTACTTACTAAAGCTCGACAAGTATGAATCTGTCATTTAACCCGCTAAATATCTTATAGTACCAGATTCAGGAATACAAAATGTAATATCGTTGATTTTAACATTTACGTATGTCAAAAATAAGACAGCCAATATATCTTTTATACATACAGCTATGAAAAATTATTCACGACTTTATATACTGAAGCGATTACACAAGTCATCCAACCCAAGCATTAATGAACATACGACACCTAATATGGTCATTAATATCTCAAATTATACTTTATAATTAATACAATTTTTATGAAGAAAAAAAAAATTATGATAATAAAATAACTTACGTTGCTACGATTTCGTACATAGCTAAAGCTACATTTATAATTTTTTCCAAATGCAAAATTGTTCAAATTTCACCGTATTTAAAAAAAAAAAAACTAAGGAAGCTGAATAACTTTCTTGTATGGCTTAAGACAAAATAGAAACAAAATTAATTATACATAATCATACTTATTAATTCCTAAATAAATACAGATTATACCGTACATTAAGCCCAATACAATCAATCAAAGTTATAAACATAAATTCTAAAATCTTTCAGATTTGTATGATACAATATTTTCAATATTTTATCATACATAATGCCTTAAATAATAAAATCTGATCCAGGCTTTACAGTATAAACATTATCTTAATATTTCCAAGAAAATTTATTTTAATTTTTATTACATGGATTTTAAAATTTAATAAAATATGAAAATTAATAATGTCATCTATGATACTTCATTTGAATGGATGAATCGTGAATATTTTCAAGTATGGGAAACAGCTTTTAAAATATTTAAAATTTTTAAAATACATAATGAAGTATAAAAAAATCGTGTGATAATATGATTAATAAAATTTGTAAGTGTATGTATCATAGATGAAAATAAAAAAAGAATAGTGTAATGAGATAATTAATAAAAATTTTAATTGTGTATATATAATACATAAATTAATTTATGCCAACCGCACCCACGATAAATCGGAATAATATGTGAAGTATAAATAAATATAAATATTGAAATACCATTATTCAAATCCTTTTTCTTTTTTTTTAATGTAAGTCTTTACAACAATATCACCTTATAGAATGAATTTTATTGCATATTCTTCTGATTTTAACAAGAATTAATTTTGTTATTTAAAATTAT